TTAGCAAACGATACACTGCAAATGTATGCACTTAACTGTGTATCAATTATACCTTTAAAAAGTACATCAACAAGGGATTCCTGAGTGGCTCAGTGGTTGAGCATCTGCCTTTGGCTCCGGTCACGATCCTGGGATCCTGATCAAGTACCACATCAGGATCCCTGCAGGGAGCCTGCTTCTCCCTCTGCCTATGTCTCTGCCTCTCTCATGAATAAAAAGTACATAAATATACAAACATTTATATACACCTACAACCAACAAGTCTGCTAAAACTAGTAAAATTGACAAAATCAAATTTTGTCAGAATATGGAGCAACCATAATTTCATACATTTTTGTCAAGAATGAAGAATGGTACAAACACTTTGGAAAAGATTTGGCAATTTCTTATACAACTAAGCACACATCAGTTTATGACTAAGCAATTCCATTCCTAATTATTGACTCAATAAAAATACACAAAAGATTGTTCGAGTTCTTAACAGTTTTATTTATAAAAACTAAAAAATGGAAACCGCTCAGGTGTCCATTAGCAGGAGGATGGATAAACAAAATGCAGCATCTATATAATGGAATACTACTCAGCAATAAAAAGGAACAAACTACTTATGCAATCAGTAACAGAGATGAGTCTCAAAAGAAGTCTTACACAGAGTGCATGTATGATCCTATTTATATGAAAAGGCAAAACTAATCTATGATATTAAAAAAGCACAACAGTGATTGCCTCTTGGGGATGGTGGGAAGACCAGGAAGAAATAGAATGATCTTTTCTCTTTTTTTTTAGATTTTATTTATTTATTCATGAGAGACACACACAGAGAGAAGCAGAGACACGGGCAGAGGGAGAAGCAGGCTCCATGCAGGGAGCCCAATGTGGGACTCGATCCTGGGCCTCCAGGATCACGGCCCGGGCTGAAGGCGGCACTAAACCGCTAAGCTACCTGGGCTTCCCATAATGATCTTTTCTTGAGTTAACATTCTATATCTGGAAATGGTTTATTTAGCTTACACAGAAATATGTACTGGTCAAAACTCATGGAATGGTGAATACACTTAAGATTTGTGCATATCATTGTAATTTTTACTTCAAAATGAAAAAAAGAATTATAAATAAATACTACCTAATGACACATATTCTCAAGTATTTGGGGATAGGATATACTAACGTCTGCTATTTTAAAATGCAACAAAACATAGCTTGATGGATGGATAGGTAAGTGACACAGCCAAGTATAATGATATGTTGAAAGAATCTAGATGGTAGATATAAAGGTATTTATTCATTGTACAATTCTTCCAACTCTTATATATGTTTGAAAAGTTTTATAATAAGATCTTGGAGAAAAATCAGTTTTTAAGAGTAGTGATTCCATTTTTTGCACATTTATTTATGTCTGTGTATTCATGGGCCTGCATATATGATATATACGCATGCATGTTTATATTTATGTTGTAATTTCAACTGCTCCTTCTTAAGCAGCTAGATCCTTCCTATTCACTTAAAAAATATTTAAGTTCCTCCTATTCCCAAATGTTACAAACAAAAAAGAAACTGCTTCAAAATCTTCCTTTAGCTACTACTAGCTCACTTTTGTTCCTTTCAAAGCCACATTTCTTTTAAATCTTTTTTTTTTAAAGATTTTTATTTACCCATTCATGAGAGACACAGAGAGAGAGGCAGAGACACAAGCAGAGGGAGAAGCAGGCTCCATGCAGAGAGCCCGATGTGGGACTTGATCCCGGGACTCCAGGATCATGCCCTGAGCCAAAGACAGATGCCCAACCGCTGAGCCACCCAGGTGTCCCTCAAAGCCACATTTCTTAAAGAGGTAAACATACTTCTCATATCTATGCCTTCACCTATTTTATCTGGCTTGTGCCCCCACCCTAATTCCAGTAAAATAGCTCTTGTTCAAGATACCAATAATTTCCAATGTCACTAGATCAAGTGCACTTTTAAAATCCTCATCCCTTAAAGAATATAAAATATTAAATTATTTTTTTAAATTTATTTATTCATTTATGATAGAGAGAGAGAGAGAGAGAGAGAGAGAGAGAGAGAGGCAGAGACACAGGAGGAGGGAGAAGCAGGCTCCATGCTGGAAGCCCGACACGGGACTCGATCCCGGGACTCCAGGATTGCGCCCTGGGCCAAAGGGAGGCGCTAAACCGCCAAGCCACCCAGGGATTCCCTAAATTAACTTATTTTAAAATTTGAAATGAGGGAAGCAAACTTTATTTGGTACATAACCACATTTTTATTATGGCCATGTTAGAATGTGAGAAGGGGAAAACTTAAGGGATGACATCAGAAAAAAGGGGGAAAATGAATAAGATTATACTGCAGTCCAAATGGTGAACGCCAATGGTAATAAATGCCAATAGTAAATTTTCATAGACCATTTTCACCTAATTCTACTGTATTTTGAAAATCTACTAAACTCATTAACTATTGTCCACATTTCTTCAAATGGTTTAGTCATTGTATTTATAAAAGTTCCATCTTAAATGATCTCCCAAGCTTCCTATTTATGTAGAAATTATTCTCTGAGCTATAAGAATAATAACCAGAGATATAGATCTCCAAGGATTAGAAAAATCCAGCTAAGTATCACAACTAGCATAGAAACTATGTCCTAATCTTCAGAAGATAAGCCCTCAAGATTTTCAAAGCACATTCATAACATAATTGAAAACCTTCCAATGATTTTGGTGTATCAGGTAATATAAAATTATGAGGTAAAATCACTTTAAAAATATACATCATAAAATAAAGGGAATTCCTTTATAAAATGGACTTCAGAGATGAAGGCTAAATTTGAGCCTTATACATACATGCATAAGAATTTGAATTGTTTTTAGTAGTCTTAGTGGGAGGAGATTCCCAACTGTTCCCAAAAAGGTCACTTTTTGTAGCACCTTCATGTTTCTGATTTTGCAGATTAACAGGTGTTGGCTAGTCAAAGAAGTGTGGCAAAGGACAATCTAGCACAGGCAAAAACAATAAAACTATATGTAAAGACAATGGCAGAAGGGCTTTATTATTTATTTTCATCTAGTATTCATCCATATACCTTGGTCACAGATAATTTCCTAAACGCTCCTTTCTTTATTTTTGCCATTTATTCTTCTGAGAAAGTAAATGTGTTTATTTATCACCCTCAACGTGCAAGCCTAGAACTATGTGCAATGCCTGGGCTTAAAGAGACAAATGGTATGGCTAATGGTGGTACACTATGATTATTGAAGACTTGTTTTTTTACTCTAGCCTTTTACATCAGAGCTTTACACATAACTGCATTATTAGACTATTTTTTTTAAAGATTTTATTTATTTATTAGAGAGAGAGAGTGCACACACACGTGAGCAGGTAGAGGGACAGAGGCAGACTCCGAGCTGGGCACAGGGCTGGATCTCACAACCCTGAGATCATGACCTCAGCTGAAACCAAGAGTATGACCCTTTACCCCCTGTGCCCCTCAGGCACCCCTAGACTATTTTTAATGCTAAAATTAATTTTTCACTTAGTGGGACACCTGCGTGACTCAGTGGTTGAGCATCTTGCCTTTGGCTCAGGTCATGATCCCAGGGGTCCTGGGATTGAGTCCTCCATTGGGCTCCCCATAAGGATACTGCTTCTTCCTCTATGTCTCTGCTTCTGTGTCTCTCATGAATAAATAAACAAAATCTTTTTAAAAAAATGTTTTTTCACTTACCTTTGAGTTCCATTAACAGTGGAGGTGTCATAAAGAATAAAATAGCTTAAGTTTAATTATAATGAAGGAAACACAGAAGGATTTAATAAAAAACTTGACAAACACTCCTGAAAATCCAGAGTGACTATATAATATAAAGTCTAGTTTTAACTCTAATCTTTTAAATTGCAAACCTTTGTGACAAGCAGCTTCTGACAGGGCTCCCAATAATCCCTACCTGTTGGTATACACAGCCTTGCTTAATCTCCCCCCCTTGAGTAAGAGTTGAACCTCTCAACTTGCTTCTAAAGAAGCAAATATGGCAAAAGTGAAGGCTGTCTCCTGTGATTAGGTTACAAAAGACCATGACTTCCCTACTACTTGTGTTCTCTCTTGCCCTCTCACTTGCTCTCCCTAATGAAGCACGCTGCCATATCATAAGAAACTCCATTAACAGGCCCATGTAGCAAGGAACCAAGGGAGGCCTTCACCAATCAACAGTCCACAAGAAACTGAAGCCTCAGTCTAACAAGCCACAGGGAACTGAATGCTGCTAACAACCATGTGGCCAGAAAGGGAACCTGCCCTAGTCCAACCTTGAGACAACTGCTGCCTTGTGAGAGGCAGAGCCAGAGGACCCAGTTAACCTGTATCTGGATTCCAGACGCACAGGAACTGTGATATGATAAATGCATACTCTCATAAGCTGCTAAATTTTGGAGTAATTTATTATACAACAATAGATAACTAACATACACATTCTCTGAAGAAAACCATATAAATATACAAATTCTGGCACACATTGTTAGGAAGCTTCTTTGAAGTCCACCAGTGGAACTCCTAGTGATCCAGCAATCCCAGATTAAGAAACTTCTAATATAATAAACTCTAAACAATATACACAAAAGGCCAGCAGGAAATCAATTTAACCATGCTATCTATGTAGCTTAATAGATGTCAGAACATTTTCCTTCTTTGCAGTATTGCTAAGAAAGTTAAAGTACTTTAAGTAATTATTGATATCTTAGTACTAGTGCTACAAAGGTAAAATCAAGCCAAGTTATACCAGAACATTATTTTGAATAAGATATTCCACAGATACTAAATAAGTGCTGAGGACGAAATAATGACTACACACTATCCTGATTTTGAGGACTTTCCTGATCAGTGGGTGAGAAAAACACACACACACAAAATAGCTACTATAAGAGTTGGGAGTACAAACAGAGATTTGTATATCCACTCACATACATAATAAAATAGCTATCATGAATTTTAATCATAAAGTAATTAAAAGAAATACCTGTACGGTTTTTCCAAGTCCCATGTCATCACCAAGAATACATCCTTTTCCTTGGATGAAGTGTGCATAGAGAAACTGGGCTCCTTCCCTTTGGTAGTCTCTCAAATATCTGTTAATAGTATAAGGAATAGAGTCTCCATCTGCAGATAATGGAAAAGCTACAGCAGATGATGGAAATTTTCGGCCTGGGAAACAAGGTTTTTCCAAATCTTCATCATCAAATATAAAATTCCTGGAGCAATTTTTAACAGATTTTACTTCTTCAAGTCTTTTAAGAGGTACTTTTCCTTCTTGAAAATCTGAATATAAGACGATTGCAAATGACTTCCCATTTTCATCCACTATGATAGATTTTATGCTTGCTTCACAAAGTGTCTCATTATCTGGAGAAGGCGCAAGACATCTTTCTCCTGGATGCCATATGTCTGTAATAATAGAGAAGAAAATAAAATTTCCAAATTTAACTTATAAAGTAATCCCATATTTATCCACTGCTATGAGAAAAAAAAATGTACCTCACACAAATACCCTTTCCAAATTACTGAAATAAGATAAATTATAACACGTATAGATATCCACCTAAAATATATTATCATGTGTTCTATTATCACAAGCAAAATAAAGGGTATATAATTTATTACCAGTGGTTCTCACCTTGGCTGTATGTCATAGTCTCCTCATACATGCACTACCTCTACTAATTATGATTGAGTGGATATGGGCCATGGGCACCTGATTTTATTTCTTTGTTTGGTGGATATTGTTGAATTCAAAGGACCATTCTGATTCACAGCCAGGGTTGAGAACCAAATTTAGATATTCATGATGATTCATGAACATTATGTATATTATTCATGATATAGTAAACTAAGAATCCTCTAGACAGCAATGCTTTTGTGATTCTCCTGTCTGCTTTTTTAGTTATCCCATCTCCTTTCTCTGGAAACGGCTGTTTCTTCTTATTGTCAATATCGCTGCTTCTAAACTGTTGCTTGATTTGTATACAACTAATCAAGGAAATCTCCAATTCAACCAGAGTGACAAGTGGCAGCTTTGTAATGGCTTTTTTCCCTTCTATGTCTTGAAGTGTTGCAGTTCTTTACAAAGAGATGAATTCTAAGAACTCTTTGTGCTAAAATTCTATCATTCTTTGAAACGTCTGACCTCTATTTATGTATTTGTCCTGTGATTAATTGTACAGCTTCCTATTTTTTTTTCTATTCAGAAAATAGGAGGAGGGAGTATCTTTAGGGCATACAACTAGTGTAATTAAAAGATACCAATAGAGGAAATTAAGTAAAAATAATTTTCTAAATGGAAATTCTTATAGCAAGAGTTCCAGAGGAATTGTATAGCTACAGATATAAAGAATACTAAGAATTATATTTCTCATATATTTCTTATTGAGATCAGATGATCACTGGTAGTTTCTTAGGTCTTTCTGATGATTTCTCGTTAGGTTTTTATAACATTCGTGATTTTTTTTTTAAAGACTTTACTTATTTATTCATGAGAGACACACAGAGAGAGACAGAGGCAGAGACACAGGCAGAGGGAGAAGTAGGCTCCATGCAGGGAGCCCCACGTGGGACTCGATCCCGGGTCCCCAGGATCAGGTCCTGGGCAGAAGGCAGTGCTAAACCGCTGAGCCACTCGGGCTGCCCTTAACATTCGTGATTATAATATGACTAGTATATCTATATTCTCAAGCACGAATAACTCATTATGCTATTAAAAGTACCATTTGAGCCTTAAAACCTGAAGTAACCCCTAATTTTGTTTCACATGATTTGTTTGCCTATCCAGAAAACGTCTTCCAATTTTTAAAGACTTAAGTCATTAGTGTGTTTATTATCCAACATACATGGCTTTTTTTTAAAAGACTTTATTTATTAACGAGAGACACAGAGAGAGGGGCAGAGACACAGGCAGGAGAACCAGGCTCCCTGTGGGTCCCCGATGTGGTACTCGATCCCAGAACCCCAGGGTCATGCCCTGAGCCAAAGGCAGACGCTCAACCACTGAGCCACCCAGGTGTCCCTCAACATATATGTTTTAACACTCACTACCTATCAAATACTGTATCATACAATAGGTATAAAATGGAAAAAAAAATGTCAAAAAATGATAATGATTAAACTTTGATCAGCACTAGTCTTTCCAAATCTCATTAAATGGCATCATCATCTAGTCAGCTTTTCATGGTAGAAAATCTTTAACCAGCCCTTATTCTTCTTTTTATATTACTCCCTACATCCAACCCATCAGGAAGTCTTGCTGGTTCTACCTCAAAATGTATAACTTTCCTCCATCATGCTACCACCTCTCTAAACTGTTGGCAAACATTTTCAGTAAAAAGTCAAATTTTAGTTATTTATTACTTTAGTCTTGCAGGCTATACAATCTTATATATCTTATACAAGCTTATATATCTTAACCCTTATAACACAAAAGTAGGGACAGAGAACACACAAACAAATGGGCATGGGTGTGTTCCAATAAAACTTTATCTACAAGTGTCAGGCTGGATTTGGCCCCGGCTCTTAGTTTGCTGTCCTCTGCCCTAAAGCATGCCAACTTTGATTTCTTCTTAAATTACGGCTATAAACTTCTAACCATTCTCTCAGATGCCACTATTATCCCCCTACAATCCGTTTTACACATAGCAGCAATACTACTTAAAAACATAAATCATTGGGGTGCCTAGGTGTCTCAGTAGGTTAAGCACTGTACTATTGATTTTGACTCAAGTGGTGATCTCAGGACCCTGGGATCAAGCCCTACACTAGACTCTATGCTCTGTGGAGTATCTGCTTGAGGATTTTCTCCCCTGGCCCCTGCTTGCATGCACTCTCTCTCTAAAATAAATAAATAAATCTTTGAAAATAATAAAAATAAAAATTATTGGTAAATCTCTAATTTAAAATCTTCCAATAGTTAATCTACTGCATAAAGAATTAAGTACAAACTCCTTACTGGCCTATAAGCCCCAGTATGATCTGCCAAAACCTACTTGTCCAACTTAATCTGTCAATTTTTCCCTGTACTCAAACATGTTAAGCAGGTGTTCTCTCAGCTGTTTTTGTCATTTCCTCGTCTTATTTAAAGTAAGGTACCCTTTTATTCTGTATCTCAGTATTTTACTGCCTCCATAACTCTTACCACAATGTTTAGTGACTATGTCTACTTGTTCTTTTTTTTTAATATTTTATTTATTTATTCATGAGAGACACAGAGAGAGGCAGAGACATAGGCAGAGGGAGAAGCAGGCTCCCTGCGGGGAGCCCAATATGGGACTCCATCCTGGGATTCCAGGATCAGGCCCTGAGCCAAAGGCAGACACTCAACGCTGAGCCAGCCACCCAGGCGTCCCTGTTTACTTGTTTTTATCTGTCTTTCCCACTAGAGAGTAATTTCCTTTCCAAGAAAATGCATTTTTCAAGTTTTATTCCCAGCACCAGCACTCAGTAGGCACTCAATAAAGTGCTGAATTTATTAACAAAAACACATCCTTGATCTCACAGATCCTGGATATCTAATAGGGGAGACAGATGCTAAAAAGTTCCCAAACACGAAATTGTAATAAGTGCTTCAGAAGATGAGAACAACGCACTATGAAAAAGGAGTGTTGAAGAAGCATAATTTAAAAGGGAAGATCTAAGAAGAGTATCTCTGAGCACACAGCATGTGCAAAACCCCTATGGGCTTCACACAACAATTTTTGGAAATCTATCTGATTTCTTAGTTTCTTCTAGAACTAAACAGATTCAGTTAAGTTTGAGCAAAGGCTGGAGTCTCTCTGTACCAAACTCTAGAACAAATAGCTTAAAGTGGGAGGATTTCTTGTGGGGATGAATGGAGGGTCCTCTTTAACTGTTTCCTTTCCTCCTGCATTCCAAACTGGCCTCCTTGCTATTCCTCAAACATGGCAAGCATGCTCCCACCCACGACCCCGAGCTTTCTGTTCCTTCCATGAACACTCTCTCTAAACTCCCAAATGACTGATCTTTTACTTCATTCAGGTCTCTCCTCCAATGGCATCTCCTCAGAAGTGTTTTCTCTGAACACTGAATCTAAAATAGCACTCCCTGTAACTCTTCCTTTACCCTACTTTATTCCATTTTCAAAGAAAAATATGAAATATTTGTTAATGTTTATCTCAACTTAGTAAGTTCCCTTTGGGCAGGGACTTACTTTGTTCACTGGTATATCCTGGGCACCTAGAACAATGTTTGAAACTCAAATACTTGTAGGACTAACAAATATTTATATATAGCTAACATTTGGAGACTTACATGTGCCAAGCATGTGCTTTATTTAAGACTCACCACCATCCTTTCAGGACTCTGTTTAAGTAATATTGTTAGCTCCATGTTACAAATGGTGAGACAGATAAAGATTAACCAACTTGCCCATGGTTATATGGCCCATGGTAAAATGGCAGATCCTGAGTTTGAACCAAGATATCTGACCATGCTGTACCATACACACATGAGTAAACAAGTCCCTGGAACTGAGCCCTGCCTCTTTTAACTGACGTATGAGCACTGCAGTCACTACAGTCTCCACTCAGCAGCTTTACTACTTACTTTACCTGCCAGGCTTCTATGGGTATTTACATTTGTGATCCCTGTATCGTAGTGTCATCAATTCCTAATCTTCAGAGTTGACGTTTGTTACATAAACCTCTCTAAACTTTAGCTCTGAGTTCCTCATCTATTTGATGAGATCAATACCTCCCTCCAAGAAAAGCATGTAGATAAACAATCAGCATATTGCTGGGCACAAAACAAGTCCTCAATATCTGACAGTTTCTATTATGTCACTTTTAATGATGGAAGTTATTAATTTGGGGGCAAGAAGGCATCCCATTTGGCTTGGGGCAGATAACCACACCCCCCCTAAACCCTCTCTTGAGGACCCATTAAAGGTGAAGTCTAAACTCTCTGTGTAATAAAATAAAGTGAACCGAATATCTCAACCTTTATTCACATATAACAACAAATTTCTCCCCTTCGCTAAGAACTAGGGCATACGAGGATAGAGAATAAACACATTTACTGAGTGCTTACTACGGACCAGAAGCCGAGTCACCTAAGTGCTTTGCATAAACCATCTCATTCAGTAATCACAATGACCTCAGTTTTACAGATGAGGAAATGGCCCAAAGTTTCTCAGCAAGTGGCTGTCGGAGCCACACTGGATCCAGTCTGCCTCGGCCAGGTTCTCAACACTGACTCCTGAGCTACTGGTCCCAGGCTCCAGCCGTCACTCAGCAGAGCCACAGGTTTAAAACCCCAGCCCCAGCCCCAGCCCCAACGGAAAGGGCAGGAACGGGTCCAACCCAGCGCAGTGAAGACAGCCGTGTGGGCCGAGAGGCGCGCTCGGAGCGTGTACCTTTGCCGGCGTTTTCCGAGCGCAGCTTGGGGGCAGAAGGATCCATCTGGCCAGGGGGAGGGGCCGAGCAGCCTGGCGGCGTACCAAACGCGACCGGCGGCGGAGGAGGCGGAGGAGGCGGAGGAGGCGGAGGGCGAGAAGACTGAGTCCAACGCCGCTTTCTGCAGCACTGAGTACATCGCCCCGGAAGCGCGGCGCCAGCGGGCGAGGGGGAGCACCAGGGGAGCCCGAGAGGCGGCGTCCAGGGCGGAGAGCGCCGTGAGGCTGCTAGGGCGGCGCTCACCTAGTCGTCTCGCGTTCCGCTGGGTGGGACAGCAAGCCAGCAATTGGACCCCTCACCCTCTCTCAGACTTGGCCCTACAGCTACCTTCCCCCGCGACTTTCAGCTCAGACGCAGAATATCCCGCGAGATCAGCCTCCTGGACTGTCACCGGCATCTCGCGATAACACAGTCTCGGCTCACGTGGGCGGAGCCATCTTCCTGCCGTCTTTACCGCGGGAAACCGGTATCACGATGTCTTCGACAGTTGCAAGTATCGCGAAGTTTGATCTCGCCTGCTTGCCTGGTGCGGGTTTTGAGGAGGCAGAGAGACCCTAAGTCTCGTTCCGGCGTGCTCTAGCTGCGGTCTTCTAAGGGCTGACCTATGGCTGGAGCCCGTTTCCGCGGTGGTGGCCCGCTGGCTGCTCTTGGGTGCTTCCTCCCCCGAGCGCGGTCCGGGGGGACGCCACCCCCACCCTCCCGAAGCCGGCGCTGCAGGACCCCCGCGGGACGCTGGGTCAACCGTGCGCTCTCGGGGTCACACACAAACACACGGTCCTAAATCAGGTCTGCGAGTGCAGATAAGCAATACGTGCCATAAGTAGAAGAGAAAGGTAAAAATACAATGAGAACTGAAAGTTTTTTTTGTGTTCCATCGACAGTTACGGCGATTTGTGTGACGGGCTGTTTTTGTGAAAGCATCGCCAGAACTGCACACACTACTCACGGGTTAGTAGATATCTGATACCTTTCCAGACCTTCCTTATACGATTCTTCCATAAGTGGTTTCTGCGCCCGTTACAATGTTTTCATATACTGTAGGATGTTTCATTGAGCTAGATTTGCTTGAATGGGCAAGAACTGATTTCCTATTGACGCTGTGACAAATCACTACAAATTTTAGTGGCTTTGAACGGCACAAAAGTATTAGGAGGATACACAAATTGATTATTTTACAGTTCTCTAGGTCAATTCTTACTTGGGTTTCATTAGGTTAAAAGCAAGTAATTGGCGGGGCTGCGTTCTTTTCCAGCAGAATCCTTTCCTTGCCTTTCTACACATTGCCTGGCGCATGGCCACCTTCTTTCTGTCTTCAAAGCCAGAGTTGTCGCCTCTCTCTGAGCCTGACCTGATCACATCTTCCTCAGATTGGAGCAGGGTAAGATTCTTTGATCTTATGATCACATTGGGTCTACCTGAATTATCCAAAATAATCTTCCCATTTGAAGGTATGTACCCTCAGTTACATCAGCAAAGGCCTTTTTAGCAGGTAGAGTAATGTATTCATGGGTTCCAAGGATTAGGATGTGAACATCCTTGGGGGCTCATTATTCTGCCTATCAAAGGGTTTAAATGAGGAAAACTATGTCTATTTGCCCTGCCAATAGGTATCTATTCTTTGAGAGATACTAAAAGTTATCAGTATGTTTTCATAAAATCCTTCATCTAGAATAGCACTTGTTTCTGTTTACCAACAGGTATAAACTTTGTCATCCACTGTGTGTGATATGTTGGCCCTCACACATGGTTGAGAGGTTATGTCATTTAACCTAATTGCTTCAGCATCTTCACCCATGACAGCAAAGAGGCAAATAACAGTAACCTACATAAAAAAGTATTGTAAGAATTAAACAGGGTAAGTAAAACACATGAAACAGGACCTGGTTGAGGAAGGAACACGTGGATTGCTGTTAATGTTGTTATCAATGGAATGCATCCACTTGAAAGTTGCTTTATGCATAATCATTACTTCATTTTAGTATTTTGGGTAATAGTTGATAGTACATTATTGCTTAGATTAGAATCTTAGACTACATCCTAACTTAAAGCACCATGAATTGTAAAGCATATTATTTAGGTACACCTGAAAGAAAGAAAAAACTGCTCATTATATAAATTATAACTTGATTTTTAACATGCATCCTGATACTGAAATTTTTAAATATAGGGGAAAAATCTGTTTCTTGGAATTGATGAAATATATGTTTTACTTAAACTCTGTTCACATCATCTCAAAAATCAATGGCAATTGGAAATTTCAGCCAAGCTTACTTTTTTCTTTTTAGAACTACCAGAAAAGTTTGTTTTCCTCTACTAAAATAATGAGTTGTATAATACTGTCTTATTTTTGGGGAAGTCTACTGATTTAAGACCTTGATTTTTATTTTTTCTTAAAGGTTTTTTTGTTTTTTTTGTTTTTGTTTTTGTTTTTGTTTTGTTTTTTTTGAGAGAGAGAGAGAGGGAGCATGAGTTGGGGGTGGGACAGAGGGAGAGGGAGAAGCAGGCTCCCAGCAGAGAGCCCAACATGGGGCTCGATCCCTGGACCCTGGGATCATGACCTGAGCTGAAGCCAGATGCTTAACAAACTGAACCACCCAGGCAACCCAAAAACTTGATCTGACATCTAAATAGATGTGATAAAATCAGAAGTAAATTTTTATTTAAATAAAAGAGGGGCACCTGGGTGCCTCAAAGAAGTGGGTGTCCTCATATAGAAGAAAGGGCTGGATATGTCTTCATACAGAAGAAGGGGCTGGAGAACTCTGTGGTATCCTCTTAAGAGCACTGAACCTATTCATGAAAGCTCCACATGTATCTTTGTCATCCCATTGGGTTTTAGGATTTCAGCATATTAATTTTGAGGGGATACAAACATTCAGAAAACTTTGAACTTTGAAATGTTTAAGTTAGATGACTTTAGGTTGTAGCATTTCTCCCTTGATACAGTGTTCCAGCCACTGTGTCAAGGGGAAGAAAGGAAGAAGGAAGAAGAGATGAGTAAGAGCAAGGTAGACACTGTAGAAATAGATGTATCCTTTATCAATAAATAATCTATACTTTAGAGTTTAAAAGGCAACATTATTCAACAGTATAAATACACAACATGAACTGTACACTTAAAAATGATTAAGAAGGTAAATTGTGTGTGTGTGTGTGTGTGTGTGTGTTTTACTACAATTAAAAAACAAAACCAAAAACCTAGGTCAACAGAAGGACAATTAAAAGCTTGAGCCAAATGTAGTGAAAGACACGTAGTGAAGGGCAGATTAGTGCTAGATATGTGATGATTATTACATCTTGAACCTTCACCAATGCCATTTTACTTCATAGACTCACTGAACATTAAAACTTGAAGAAATCTCTGAGGTCCTCAATGCAATTCTCAAAGATGATAAGATAGTAAGAGAAAGGTGGTTCTCCCAAAATCACAAATAGCAAATAACAAGATCAGGTTTAGAACATAATTCATCATTCTCATTCCAATCTGATAGGTGTATAAAAATATTCAATAGAATATATTTTAAAATTTGAAAAATTAAAACCTATGATTCTGTTTTTTGTAATATTCCATATCTCATGTCATGTAATAAGCATAAAAATCCCGCAGCAAAACACCAAGACCTGCAGGTTGAAATACTTTTATAAAAATACCCAAAATGTGTTGCTGAGCAAAAAAAGAAAGAAAGAAAAAGGTAAAATATTCATAAGCCAAAAAGGAGGAAACTGAAAACCAGCTTACTAAGCTGGCACTTACTCCACTACTGTCCTGGAGGCATTTGCCCATCTCAGTTACAGAAGAGGTCTGAGTTTTACCTGTCTTGTGAGGACAGAAGACATGGTGTTAAGCTCTCACAAGGTCACAAATTGGAACTGAGACCCTCATTTGAAATCAGAAGGCCTGAAAGGCAACACCCTCAGTGAAATCACTGGGTAAAAGCAAATTTGGAAAGCAGATATGGGGGAGGATGGAGAAGACAGGATTTGTCTCTCTTGGCACATCCTCTTTGGGCAGGGCTGTGTGTGTATGTATGTATGTGTGCCAATTTCCTTTGCCATTTTGAAACCACCATGTCCTCAAATGAATTTAGGACTTGAATTCACAGGACCTGTATGATCTAGGAAACCCCAAGCTAAGATAATAATATAATGTCAGGTTAATCGCATCCATGTTGGAAGAAGGAAGCAAAGCTCATCCTCTCTAAAGGAAAACATGTTAAAACAAAGATTCCTCAAAGTTTCCAAAGATAAATCCCAAACAATTCACAATTCAAAGACTGCAAAACATGCACTAAACAAGCCACCATGAACAAAAGCCAGCAGGGAAAACATGCAACAGAAATAGACTCTTAGTAATTCAGTTAATGGAAGTATTAAATACAATTGTTTATGTGTATTTAAAATATTTACTGATATTTTTGAAAATGGAACTGAAAACCTGAAGAGAAAAGACACTGTCAAAATAAATAGATTTATTAAAAGAACTAGAACTTCTGGAAATGAAAATCATAATTATTGAAATTAAAAACTCTAGCGCAAGTTAAACAGCAGATTAAACACACCCTAATAGAGAATTCACATACTGAAAGATCTAAAGAAATGATTCCAAATGCAGAGCAGAAAGTCAAGTAGATGAAAAATACAAAAGGTTAAGAGAAATGGAGGGTAGAAGTGAATTTCCAGAAGTAATGAATAGAGAGGCTGAGGGGGAATAAAAAGAAATGACTGCTGAAATCTCAGATTGAGGAATCATAGTGAATTGAGTATACACAAAAAATAATAGTAAAATAAAAAATAAAACAATACTTATATATAAACTATATATATATATTTTTGATAGACACATTGAAGTAAAATTACAGAAGTAACAAAGAATCTTGAAAGTAGCCATTAAAAAGACAAATTAATAGAGCACCTAGGTGACTCAGTTAAGCAGCTGACTCTTGATTTCAGCTCAGGTCATGATCTCAGGGTCCTGGGATGGAGTCCCATATCTGGCTCCATGTTCAGTGGGGAGTCTGCTCATGGATTCTCTCCTCATCTGCCCCTCCCACCGCTCTCTCTCTCTCTCTCTCTCAAATAAATAAATCTTAAAAAAAGACAGATTACCTATCTAGAAGAGAATGACAATTTAACTGATAAAAGTTAACTAACAACAGTTAATAGTAACAAGAAAGCCAGGATATAATGGGATAGTAACCTCAAAGTGCAAAGAAAATAGCTATCAACCTGAAATTTTTAGTCAGCTAAGCTTTAATAAGAGCAAAATAGGAGTATTTTCAGACAAAACTAAAAACACCAATGGACTCTCACTCCAAGACCTTTTTAAGGATTTTAAAATAACCCCAAATGATCTGAAATGTAAGAATGATTAAGCCTAACAAAATGAACA